GTATAGGAATCACGTAAGTTGCAGAGCCTCGGCCGCAGACAAAGTGTTCGCATGTCTGCCTCAATGACCAGCAACAGCTTTCTTCGGTTCTTGTTGGTTTCTGCCCTTTTCGCAAAGTCGACGCCAAACAGGTGACCGAAACGGCATCATTGGTAGCATGCGTTGGGGAGTGGCTACAGCTCTACAGCTAATGAGTACAACCGGGCGACGGGCGGCCGACAAGTGCCTACTAAGGGGTGTCCGGCTACCTGAGTTCAGCGGGTTAGCAGGACCCAAAGCTAGCATCTCAACAGTAGGGGCAATAACACACATCTTAAACAAGACCTGCAAGTTAGATCTTGTAGGCTGCTTTAACAAAGGAGCAAAAAAAGGCGAGCAGACCTACCAGCTCTTGTAAAGAGAAGTTGCTGCTGATGCTGCTTTTGCCGTTCTGACCAGCAGGACACACAAGGCCCCTATGTCATCGACGGGGTGGGTGGCCGGTACCGCCGATGCCCTGTCTGTATTGTAGGCGGCTTATCTCCCAATTAACAACAGTCCTCACCGCGGCAGAAGTTTACAGCCAAAGACGATGAGGTCCTTAGGCCCTGGTATTGCTTTGTATCCCTTCAAGGGACAGTTGCCTTCTACTGGCCACGTAGAAGCGCGCGTTATAAACCAGCTCTCATTAGTCCAACGATTACTAGCACATAGGATGCAGCTACCAAAAACTGGGTGACAGGCTTGGGAAAATGTTGGGGTTTGGAAGGAGTCGCATAAGCGACAACTTATAAAACCCGTCTATGTATGCTGTCGTTCCTTCCAGCTGAAGATCAGCCACTAAGTAAAGCCAACTGAATCGACTTGTTTCCTAGTCAGAGACTTGGTACGAAGCGTCCACCGCAGCAGATCGACCTTGTCTTGTAGGACTTATTCCCAACGGAAAGAAATAAATGGTTCAGTGTCGTCAAGGGTACCCTGGCACGTGTTTCATTTTGTCGCGTCTTGTCGAGATTTCCGATCAAAGGAACGTACTTATGCTAACAGGTTAGCTACCGCGACAATTACTTCGCGATAGCAGTTAAATGCTTGTCATAGTCAGCGAGATTCTAAAGATAGATTTACGTTCTAAATCACGGCATTTTTCGCTTCTATACTGGCATTAATTCATCATTACACAAATCCACGCTTCTGTATCAAACGGCACTTGCAGCGCATCGTATACGTCGTTTAGGCCTGGTAAACCAATGGGTAAGACGGCTTGAAATTGATCAAGTTTTTAGGCCCATTGGCCTTCGTTGTTGCAATGCTATTCACTGGTGTCGCTTTGAGCTCTTTCATCCTCTTTGACACAAAGTTGTGCTGGTCGCGTGTAGTATGACATGGCTTATGCAGTCTGCTATCGCTTCCACTATCGAGGCCTCCTCCCAGAGCCTTTCAGTGAAGACAGCCAGAACTGATTCCCTTTGCTTTCGGTTCGTATGTATTTAGTCTTTACTTCGCCAAGCTGATTTATAGAGTTACTTTTTTCTTCCTTGTAGTTATAACGGAGTGGGAGAAGCAGTGAAGTCTATGGAAAAAAAGAGTGAAAATCGTGACACCCACGCGACATTTACAACGAACAAACCTTCCATGTGTTGCCGCCGTTGCCTTGTCACTCCCCCTTACCTCCTCTCACATGTTCCTTTTCTCCCTCTTTTAGTAGACTCTCGTATCAGAAGCTTTTGTTACACAAGACAAACGTCCCTCGAATGGGGTCAACCAGCGGGTGCAGTAACGGCATTTGCCTCGTCCAGTGGAGCTCATCTTCAGCTGAATAATAACAATAAAAGTCAGACACGTTAAACAGGCCCTTGCACTTAACTTAGTCTATTTGTTGTGAGACGCACGTTTAGTCAACCTACATACAGTATGTATACGATGCATATAAGAAAGGGCAAGAGCACTTTACTGAAAAGCACTCCGGGTTTAGCTGGCTTTGCCGGCTGGTCAGAACCGACGATATGCAGGCCCCTGTTAGTAGCTCGGCCCGGTGTTCGCATTAGATTATGGTAATGTCAGAACTGTTTCTCATGCGCCGTCACCGTAGTGAAGAAATGAAGAACAGGAAGACACATCAGATGATGATAAAAGATGGAAGCGGATCAGTGACCGGTTAATACCATTTGTGAGGAGCAGCGGGGATCCGGTCAAGGCAACGACTCCTATGGGCGCGTTTACCACTTTCTGCGATCGCCTTGTGTTCGCGATCGGGTAATCGATGTACCTTTCTTCTTGACATGGCAAATGCATAGCGCTCTAGTTTTGAGATGACGACGAAACATCTTGACTAAACAGAAGACCCAATTCACCATGGTCTCAGAGAAGATAATTGGTCGTTCTTTTAAGTCGATGCTAGAAGATCCTACAAATAGAAAGGTAAAGGTGAAAAAACGACAACAACGATAGGTATGGTACGACACGAGACAAAGCGCAAACAGTCTTGTTCTGCCACCAAAGACCAACGCTCTGGGACGGCAGCCAGTAAATCCAGTAAACAAGGAAGAAATGTTTTGAAAAGCACTACAGTAGCAATGACTTGTGTTGGCGATGTCAGTTTTTTCGTGGGCAGAAAGTGTGGAAAAGGAAGATAACCCAGAACACGTGATCAACGTTGACCACATGGCGTCTTTACATCGACACAGCGTTCGGTGACCTAGGGTTGGAACCATTAAGTGATTGCCCACTTGATTGTGTGATGGAACATTTGCTTTGAAAATATATCTATTTAACACATGTGTTGACCACATCCAATGTACGTGTCAGCTCACTCAATTCTGTTAGCGTCATCAAACTCTAAAGTATCATTTCCCGAAAGATAAAAAATTTACCCAATTGCCTAACGTGGGTGATTATATTCAACGGAATGTCAAGCAGCTGAATTACACTCAAAAACGGGGGTGTTTACCTTAGCAGTCTGCCGATGTTCATCCCTGGAAGCCTTCTATTTTTCCAGTCACCCGCGCCGCAACGCGGTATGTACTAGCTTGGTTATTCGTTGACCGGTAACTTTCAGAAAACACGCATCTGGAGCCTGTTAGCAGTGTGAAGTGTTCTCTCTCTTTCCTTTTCCACTTGCCCTACCTGGATTCACTGGATTTGTTTCGTTGAGGCGTCAAGAATCGGGTATCCGAGAAGCACTGTCACCCGTAAAGGTAGTGAATGCGCACATTTGGACGTATCTTCACCTCTGGCTACTACGGCCAACTTCAAGGTTGCAATTAAGATGGAAGAAACCTAGCGTCATAGTGGAAATAATGGTGGCAACAGAAACCCTATGAATTTTAATGCAATTCAGCACCAGCAGAAGCTGAGCATATAACAACTACCTAACTCTATGCTCCACAAGGCCTTGCCGCTGCATCTTTTTCAAACAACTCCTATAGCTCTTTTCTGCTCTTCGCTAGTCAGAGTCGAGGTCCACAGCCCACACCGCCCTGATTGCCATGTGAGGCGAAATGGGACGACGCAGGTGCTGTATACTTAACCAGACATCAGCTGAGGCTTCGGACGTTTCGGTCTTTCCCTTCAGGTGATGTTCAGCTATAGGTGGCATCGGATCTTCGGCGTGATGAGCCAGCGATGATCCGCGCATACGATCAGATCGTGAATGCTCCAAATTCACTGCAACGTCTGTTTGCCAGTTTGCTTAACGGAGGACTGCCGCTTACAATATACCGAATGAACTAGTCGACGAATCGCCGAGACCTTCTTTTAAGCACAAACGTTTCTGACAGTCTTGGCCTTCTCCACAAGACGAAGATGCAGGAAGATCACACCCGACCAGTACGGTGATATCGCTGTCCCTTGTGCAAAGAACCTTGGGAGACTGCTCAAGTCGGCTTTTACTTTTTTTTTACAGTCGTGGGGCATAGTCTGCTTGAGATTGGACGGAATTGAGGGATACTCAGGCGCTCATTCGTCTGTGCTCCTCAAACGTGCGTCTTCTTGCAAAATGCGGGCTGCTCCTAAAGTTGGTCTATGAGTCGACAGCGACAGCACCGCCGGCGCCTCCCCGGCAATTAATAACCGCCAGCCAGTGAGGATTACCAGGAGCGACTTAGCTGCGTCTGCGGGTCTTCTTAAGACGGAAATGGAACCGAGCAGTTGTTGATCTTAGCTAAACTACAAAGGTTTGCGGGACGACGCCCTAATTGCCCCTTGGCTGTCTCCTTCAGCGTTAGTTCCTAGCCAGTGGTGTGCAGAGGAGGCTCTGAGCGCAGAGGGCTTTTGCGCAGGCCTCCAGTGGCGCTGGCTAGCTACCTGCGGATGCGACGGTTTTAGCGCCGGATGAGCTCGACTGACGGTGAAACGAAGCGCATAAGCAGCTAAGGCCTCAACGCTATCAAGAGGATTGGAAGATCTATAGTGCAATGTTGGTTTAGTAGGTAAAAGAGGAAGTGATGGGGGTTGAGGCTGAGGTGCCAAAAAAGCTTCCTGGGAACTCTAGAGGCTGACGTGTCTTGCCGGTGATTCCCTGCTGTTCGCTTTACTCGTTCATGAAGGTGCACTGGTGATGAAAAAACTGGAAGGGAGGCGGTTTCATGAAATTGTGCAGGCAGTTTAGTCATACCAAATAGTAATGAAAATCACTTAAATATGTTCTCAATAATCAGATGAGCAATCCAGATATAATGTATTAATGATGGTTTAGTCCATGTGTAGCGTGTATGCACTTCATGCCACAAAGGCTTGTCTAGATGTTGTATATGTGCGTGTCTTAATGCTTACTGTGTATTATACGTGAAGTAACTCCCTTTATATACACATGCGAATTGGGTGGTATTTACCTTCATTTGAAAGAACGATTCTTAGTATCTTTCAACCAAATGATAAACGTCCAAGCCAACGCGTATATTATATACGAGGATGCATAAAAGTAGTGTCTTTATTTTGTATATAATACGACTGAATTACAAGGGTTAATTAACTACGTTTTACTTAGGAAACCTACGATTTTTTTTTCTCTGTTTTAATTATAGCAAGTGCAAATTAACGACGACTTCTGCGGGATGGAGGTAAACACACCACTGGATGGAGCAATGGCCATCGAAGCTTCGCCCGTCCTCACCTATCCATCAACGCTGCTATCTGCTGTGAGCGCTGTCTCGACTCACGACTATACCGTCACTTTCCTTGGAACGTCAGACGGCCACCTGAAAAAGGTTAGTACACTAATTTACGTCAAGGACAAGCAAACATGCCATTTTTATTATCGGCCCTTGTTGTAACGTGTTGATTGGTCGAGTCCATACTTTTCCCAAAATGGAACAATAGGACATTTTCGACGCAAGACAACCTCCGTGTTCTCACGAGTAAGCCTATGATTTAAGCGGTTTATTTGACCTATTTTTTTTTTATTCGTCGAAGGAAACGTTGCTTCACTACTTGCCATATGCATTTGTCCATCGTTACGATTGGCATTGCCAAACCAGTTTTGTTTGAGATCGAACATTGATACCGCATACAATTTTCTGTCTGCCATAATAGCTCTAAAGCAACTGTTAGAGCGAGACGGCGGCCTTTTCTACACAGCATTTTTATCAACCTATCACTTTTCATTTACCAGGATTGTCCAAGATGCTCCGTATTTTTTTTTTTGGTATTTGTGTCGATTCTCTGTGCCCAGGGGAACAGGCCAGTAAACCCTGCTAGTCACCCGTCACTAGCGCTGTCCTTGCTGGGGGATTTCCCCTTAAGCCCTGCCTGCCGTAGAAACGTTTGCTGAGCAGAATAGAAAGCTTTCAATCAACTACGTGCCTCGTACCGTTCAATAGTGACGATGTTGAGGTGATGAAAAGTAGATAGTGAAGGTGAGAAAACGTTGATTGCATTATGCATCATAAAAACTATGTCATTCGTTCCTTTTATTGAAGATTAGGTGCTGATCGTTTATTTGTTACGTATGCGCTTAACTGTCGTTGTTTGCGGTGAGGGAGGCGCCTTGTGGTATTGCATGTAAAGATGCAGGATCGCAACGAAGGACGCCAACGTTCGGCCGCTGCAGACTGTTATTGGCGATCAAGCTGATCAAAGTACGTGCTTACGTTGATTGTGCTGTTCAGGGAAACGCCTCAAGGACAGCGAATAGAAGAGGTTAGAGACTTTGCGATAGGATTGTCGAACACGACGAACGTGTTACACGTGACCATTTCCGCTCAGCTGTCTACTGCGACCGTATCGATTCATTGTAGAAATACTCGTGCGGATAGAAATCGTTGGCTGATGGCTTAGTTAATGGTTGCTTGAATAATGTGTGAGTGTGGAATTAAGGATTTCGCCGCTGTCGATCGCCAAGTTGCTGTCGATCACACCACCTCAAATCATTCACTAGCACTTACCGCGCTGACGAACTTATCAGTAGCTGCCCTTGCGACTGCTGTGATTGCATTGGATAAAATATTATGGGAAAATGCTTCGTGAAGACACTGTTCTCGCGTTTAACCTCGTGACGAGGGCAGCTCAAGACCTACGGGATTGAACAATCTACTAATCTATTCGATACTCGATAGCTAGTGCTGCCTCTGTGTCCGACTGTCGGTCTGTTTTTGTTTTTGTTAGGCGTGTCGCTTTAGATATTTAGTAGGGGTGTGTATGTAAAAGCTAGGGTAGACTATATTTTAGTAGACTGGGCAGGATGTCTTGTCCTGATCGAATGATACCCTTTTTTAAGTCGAGGTCTATGTGGGGAACAGGGTCGATCTTAATACCAATAGAAAGTTTACGATAAGCTCAAACCAAATCGAACCCATCGTCCTAGTGAATCTAAGTCAACCTTATCACGTCCAAAATAGTGGTAACAGTGATCGCAAGGAAATGTCCTCGTCATTTAACCACCATGTCCTCGTCACGTTAAATACTACTATCGCACACCTGACTAATCGAACAATTTACCGTTCAACAAATCTACGAATCTTTTTTGCAGCAACAATTAAGCAGTATTCTAGAAAAGCTAAAAACTGTCAAGTATTTAACACCCGCTAATGGTACTGTATTTACTATTATGTTAAGGTCGAATAGGTGATGGACAACAGTCGTCCTGAGTCTGCCAATAGGCTGATCTTTTTCTCTTATGTACTCATAATCAGGTCTTGATACGGTAAAATTACACAAATCATGGTGGGTATGTTCTATGGGGTAGCTGGCCTATTTACCAAATGCTATACTTTGTCATACAAGGAGGTTGGAAACAACGGCACGATAAACTGGAAAAGATAGGTAAATGAATCGGCTAGAACTCACTCTTTTAAGGATTCACTAAAATCAATTCCGTTCGTGTGTACTGTAAAGAAAAAAAAAAACAATTCGCGTTTTCTATTCCTATGTATCGCTTTTAGGATACACTTATCCTTGGAAATATAGGCCGGACTGAATCTTCCGTCAAGACCATTAAATTTGCAACACTCTTAATTAAGGCTTTTTTTTTTTGAAGAAATTTTCACTTTGTGTCTCCAAGATATTAATCCATAGCACTCCATATCGAGGCTCGTAACTCGACAAAGAGCTTCTCTTTTTTTGCTAGTCCACCTGACTTTTGCAGTACCAATTCCCTAAAACCAACGACCCAACAGGCAGAGCAGCTGACGGCTGTCTGCAAATATTACAGACGGATCTCGTGTAGTGACGACTTTGCATAGACGTGAGTGTGCCTTAGCAGTGCTAGTAGCAATGGTTGTTGTCACATTTACTTATACAGCTAATAGATGCACACGATACGTGCCAAGAGGACCGACAAAGACCTTGGCTGGGCTGACTACAGCGATCCAAGGCTAACTGCCTGAACCTTCGAATCTGTAGCTAAGATTTGGCGCAAAAACAGATGATTTCTTGGGAAAAACAGAGAGTTTACTTGGCAACGATAGCTAAACGGTTTCAACGGACGGAAACTTCACGGAGACAACAATGGGCTTCGAATTTGCTTTTTTTTTTTTTAATTTTTGCAAGTCAATTTTACGAGCAGGATGTGCTCGAGTTGTATGTCTCATCTGTTGAATACGTCCACTGCAGGACGTTTAGCGTCGTCTACATGTACTATCGTGACCTTATGGCTTAATGCAGTTGACATGTATGAAACTAACGTAATAGTAATTCATTCGTTAAGGCCTGCCGAAGAGCGACGAGAAGCTAACAAAGCTATCCTATTGGTATGCCAACTGGATCCATCCGTTACGTATTGTCGAAGTACGTCTATGCTATGAGCTGTACAGTGCGTGTACTCGTAATTATGCATCGGTTTAAGCTTAATAGTTGCAATATTACTTTATTTAACCATTCCAGTAATAAATAACTTAGTTAATAATAACTTCATTAATAAACAACTTCCATAAACCCAGTGGACCTAACCAGGATAGTCGAATTTGTTACGTAACCAATAATACGGCTAAATCGTCACTCAAATACACTTCAGCTCGTAAAGTGTCGAGCTAATAAAGTTTTACTAAAACAGAAAGCGCATTCCTATTACTTCACGCGCATACAAAATCTGCAACTAGCTGTCGAAATTGGTGCTGGATATGTATAAACTACCGCGAAGCAAATATTGGCCGGCGTATTTGGCTGCCTTACAGTATGCACATTCAGTTTATAAACCTCGCGTTCCTTAATAACCTGGTCAGAATCACCTACAAATTTCCATAGAACGTCATACTGTGTTGACGCCTTTTTTTTTTTAATCATATCAGTTCATTTCATAAGATTTTGATCTTTGTCCTAAATGATGGTAACTTAAGTGTTACAGTCCTCGCTCACGTCGGCCTTCATCAGTTGGTCTTTGTGTTCGCACTGCTGACTACGCCGTCATTTAGATTCGAGAACGCTTGGCTTATTTCGTCGTCAACAAATCGCAGAGGGACTGTTTCCACGCCGGTTGTTTGCACCCAATCGACGGCTGCGAATGTTGGCCATTTGTACGATCCGTCAACCCGTTGAAGACTTCTGCGAAGAGTCTGCAACGACCTTTAGAATGAACCGACCATTGTATCAACATGGTGCCATCTAGTAAGGTCATCGTGCTTTACAAAACCAGTAGAACAGCTGTGCACGGTCAGTCCGTCACCGTCCTCTTTTTTTCGTATCCCCAAGAACCTACGCTAGGCCAAGGCCCAAATCTTTTCCCCTCGAACCTCATGGGCGTCGGTAAGTGGTGGCACAAAGTCTTTCTTTCTACAACTATGACATTCTGGGTTCCATCGACTAGTCAACGGATGTGTGAAGGGCACTGTGTCTAGATCTCTATTACAAGATATCATAGGAAGTGTGTGTTATATTTCAGCGAAGTTCCTTGCAACGCCTAGTGGCCCGTGCCACTGCTATTAGTTACCACTAGTGAGTGCAACAATTTTCGCCTTATCCGTGATCTGTTCAGCTCATGTTGTATAGTGTAAAAGGAGAAAGAGTGTGGTGGGGTTGTTTGTCCTATTTCCGTTCCGCGACCAAATGATCAGATCGAAATCCGCGCAGTAGTTGACGACTAACGAGGTACGACGGTAGGCAATTCGGTTTTGCGTAACTCACCAGTTATCACACGCTACTGGCTGGCCTTTCACGTGTTATTTGGTTTGCAAGTAGTGATATCGATATGCCTGCTGGCAGCTGATTTTTATCCCGGAGGCTAGCGACCCCTAGATGGTGGAATGTTCTAGTTTAAAACGAGTGCGTTTATGCATAATATATATATATATATATGTATATATGTATATATGCATACAACAAACGGATTAGGACATTGAGAACAGGGCATCGTCTTCACAGAACTGTGGCCATGTATGAACGGCAAAATGGCGCCATTTTCAAGTACATGCATCAGTTTGATAGACAAAATAAGTCTATTTGATTTACGCAATTTTAAAAATGTACACAAAAAATTACTGTTACAATGCTTTTAGTAATTCAAAAATCTGTATTTAATAGCAATGCAAAAAATGCTGTACACAATCTAATTGTGTTAGCGTGTGAAATCCTTATAGAAAAAGACAGATCCATACACAGAATTTATATATATGTAAAGGGCTATTTGAGATTAGTTGGTCAACAGTATATATGACAAGAGTTTCCTTTATGTCGCCACGTACTTTAGCACACGATGCGCATGTGTGGCAGCTTTCAATGGCCACCTCGTCAAAATTTCGAAGCTAAGTTGTGTAAGTAGCATAAAATTTACAACGAG